GTGATAACTAGAGCTCTTCCCAGACCTGGCAAGGTCCCAGCCTCAGGCACCTCTGGGAAGAGTGACAGGCCACCAGCAAGGGCTTATTTTGTGCCATATAAACTCCTTGTTATAGTCACGAACCTTCAAAACAACCTCCAAATTTTAATTGCAGTTGACAATTTTCCTAGCATGGGGCTGTGGGGGAGGGGAGGGTGGTGGGAGTGGTATTGGTGGTGGTGGGGTGTGATGGCTCACAGCAATATTATACAAAACGATGCATTATCAGCATTATATCACGTATTTTGACACTGATATGTGTATTGACAAAACTAAATACATACATGCCAAAACATAGCCATAATGTGCCTTACAAGGTTGAATTTTTAAAATTATACTAATAGAGCAAATTAGATAAGATGTATCCGATTGTCTTAAAAATTACCAGTAATTATAGAATATAAAAATTGTTGACGAGGAAAGCATATCAAAAATACAGTAGGATTAGGCAGGAAAAGTTTAAGCATGTGTGTGTTATCTGTGTTATCTGTTACCACAATAGTTCTATAACATTGGATATTGCTCATAATCTACATTGGTTTCCGGACAATCAATAATTTGCTGAAAAACGGAGTCAACATTGAAAACACAAGGGACAGTACGATGACAAAGCAGGGAGACACTGGGTTTTCTTTTGCAGTAGAGCAGTTCATAGCTTTGCAACTCTGTTTCATCCTCAGGAATGGCCTGTCTGGAAAATTTCAATTAAATTTCAATGCATATCTGTGCACAGTCTCTTGGTATTAAACGTGGAATGTGAGAAAATGTAAAAAATCAGTTCGTTTTACCATCATCATGTTACACATGGGGACTAAGTTATGAAGAAGGCATTTGCCCTGCTTTCAGACCTCTTTGCAGGGGCATCTGGGAAATTTGAATGCACCTCTAAATCAAATTTTGCAAATATTTAACATAGCAGCTTCATATTGCTACTTCAAATTCATTTAAACAGATCTTGCTTTCCATTACAAATTCTCCATGTGTGATCTATTGAGGTCCAAGCTTAGTTAAGTGAGGAGCTAAGTGGAGGGGGTTTCCTAATATCAGCCTAAATTAGATGCTAAAGACTGTCTATACTTGTTACTGTTTTGTCACTTTAAACAAATGGTTACTTCACGGCTCCTTGTGTGACATCATTTTCTCAGGAAAGAATTTCCACTCTGCAGCAAATTAGCTTAATAGCTAATTAATATTCTATGCAATACCATATTTTTAAAAAATCATACTCTCACAGCAAAGAGGGAGAGAAGGAGAAATGGGAGAAGAGGGAAGAGTAGGCTAGCGAAGTACGTAGGGACTTGATGGCAGACTCTGGATGGTAGAGACATGGCCTCTTAGCACTCCTTTTATGTTCTCATTCCCTTAGAGCATGCTTGTGATCTCACTTTCCCAGAACCACTAAGTCTGGATGCTGAGATGCCTTTGAAGTCCTTGGTTTGTTCTCTATTTTGTTTTTCTCTTCTAACAGCAGGAGAAACTGTGTTCAGAGGAACACACTCATATTTTTTTATGCTGACATAGTATTTAGCAACAGTATTTCAGTATAGTTCAGGTTCCTGGCTCTTAATAGACTTAATAGATATAATTTATTTTGTGTTTTTTTTCACATGGCAGAAAGCTTTTTTTTTTTTTAAAAATCATGGGTTTCATTACAGATGTGTCTTCTGAAAATAGGAAAAAAAATGAAAAAAAAAGCTGTTATTTATTTGCATCCCACCCCGGGTCGTAGTTACTGCCAGGTAACAGGATCCTAACCCATAAACATGGAGCTTTTGCACCTGGCAGTTATACAAATGAAGCAATTATCTTCAAAAGGAAACACGAAAAAGTGGGTTTTACATTAACTTCTGGCTCATCACCTAAAATAATGTGGCTGTGGCATGTGTATATGAGGTGCTTAGTCTAGTGATTAAAAAGAATCCAACCATAGCCTGCACGGTGGTGATAACACTGACAGTTGCAAACTCTTTTTGGATCATTTAAAATTTGTCCATTATACTGATGATAGTAAATGCAGAGCAATATTGAAAATGGAGTTTTAAGTTTTATCTATTGTAACTCCCAACGATTTAGACAACGTTGGTGCCAGCATTGGTCACGGTGTTTATCATAGCAAATAGGAACCAAACCAGGACAGAGACACAACACTCCATCAGTCTTTTAGACTGGACTCTGGCTGTATGTGCCCACGGCTCTCCATATGTTACCACCCATAGCTCTCATCAGCTCTAGTTAATAACAGCCTTTCCTGTTCTGCTGAAAATGCAGAGGAAAACCTATCTTCAGTCAGTCAGGTTCCTGGTGACTGTTATCAGCACGCAATGAGCCTGAGTGGTATCTGTGGCTGAGAGGGTGTGTGAGAAGAAAGAAAAGCAGCTCTTTGAAAACGCTTTCAGATGTGAACAGGGTGGTCGGGGAAGTCACAACAATTTTTAGAAAACTGCAGGTAAAATTCAGAATTACGTCTTAAGAGGTGAACAGTAGAAAGACTTGGAAAAAGCGACTTTCCGAAGGCCAGGGCAGCTGCAGTCCAGGCTGTGGAAAAGAGGGGTGGGGTGGGTATGTGTGGTCCCAATGGAGCAGCGGCAGGACAGCTTAGTGTCAGCTGCATTGACATTTCCCCGAATGACAGTTATATCTACATAGCTACTAAAGAAATATTAACCTTCACGTGAAGAGAATTTGCACACATTACAATCACTATTAGTTCTACACTGGCAGGCATTTAACCAAAATTTAGGATGGAAACACTTTCCCCATAGGAGCCCCAACTTAATTACATGTCACAGTCATAGGATTGTTAATATTTTTAAGAGCAAGCACTTTTGACAAAACTACCAGATGTGTATCTTTCTTTTTGCAGAACAATTATCTGTTCATTGGTCTGTTATTAATTCATTTAGTCATCACCTAGCTTAAGCCAGTTTAATAATACAGAAAAAAATGGTTAAGATGTTCAAATTGTTTTTATGTCTACTGCTAATGACAGCAAGAGATGCTGCTACACGTTATTTGAGAGTGAGCCCATGCAGTCCAAGAGTTCTCCTTGCCTTTCAGTGAGGTCTGTAGACTGTTAGCATCCCCAGTATGCAAAATTCTCATGAATGGAAGTTGGCCTCAATGAGAGGTGGGGAGAGGACGGGAACTATTCCTTCTGCTAGGGGCAGGGAGTCAGGTGAACAACTAATGTCAGGCAAGTGAAAGAAGATGGGCGTAAGAGAAAGGAAGTTGTTCTGTCCTGTGTCTGGGTTGAGTCACGGGCTGCATCATGGTGTCTCTGACTGGACAGGAGTGCACTGATGCAAATACAATATGAAGCAGAAGGAAGTAACTAGCTGCACTGGGTGAGGTTCGAGAATGTTGCCAGGATCAAAGAGGCAGTGGAGCGAAATCCATAAATTATCAGGCCGTTCTGGAAGGAATCCCAGTGTTGTTCCTGTCAGGATCCCTAGCTGCTTTCCCTGGGCGTCACCCGCGCCACCACTCCACTCACTGTTTCACTGTCATTATTCTGAGAAGGGTCCGTCGGTCACGCATGAGCGCACTGTGGTTTGACTCAGAGGCAGGTGCTTTCTTAAACTGATCATTCTGAGAGCAGTTGTAGTTTTGAGGGAAACATCCCTTCCCTACTCCTCGTGCCTCTCTTCAAAGGCCCCTTTACGGTATCAGAGGTTACCCAAGAAGTAGATGTTACTTACAAGAGTAATGAAATACAAGCTTCAAATGACAGCTGATTCCAATTGTCATAAAGTGAAGATTTTGATTTTCACTTCTAACAAGATCATGGTTCTGATATTGAAAACCATCAAAAAAAGTCTGAGCTTCCCTAAAGTGTTCCATAAAACACTAATTTTCAGTACAATAAGCAGGTAATATAATTACAATAAGAAAATATTTTTGGCTTGCCTAATCCAAATTAACAAGCCCTTACTCAAAATTCTGCTGGGGTCAAGCACGTTAGAGCAGAGAGAAAGCTTGTCAGGGAGGTGACATTACTTTAGGCAGAAAGCTGGCACTCAGCTAGGTCAACATGGGAATCTATAGAAATAGAAATCGGACATGTCCATTTACTTCCTCATTCAGCACTTAGCTTATGGTTTAAGGCATAGATCTTAACACATAAGCTTGGAAATATCTTCTGTGCTATTCATCTTTGTGCTAAATTTGCCAAGATTCACCCATGACGGTATTGTAAATCAGAGACAGTGGACAAAGTGGCTCAAATACTGTCTTTCATTGTAGGGACAAGAATTGCACATTTTATGTCCCCACATTTCTATACTCCCCAAAAGCTAGCATGCTGAATTTGGTTTCTAATGGGTAACAGTTACCAAAGAGGGGGTGACTAAAAAGGGGAGACAGATGAGTACTTTTTGCCAGAATAATGGTATCTCCATTTCAAAGAGCAGCACTTTAGATGTCTGTATCATATATTTGTGTGGGTGGAGCATTGAGGCATTTTACTTCAACCTCTGGAATAGATTAGGACTTGCTGTTTGCTGCTTCTAGAGGGTAGTAAGATTTTCCTAGAAAACAGAAGGTTCTGATTATCCCCTTCTTAAAGGCTAAGACTGTTTGATATGTTCTGTATAAATAATTCAGTCATAAAATATCCCCAGTGTTAGCATTATTCACTGAAATAAATTAAGCAGAAAAAACCTGGAATATCTCTTCTTCCCCTTTTATGAAAATGAAAATGTCCCTGTATTAAGAAAATTACAAACTCAAGAGGTAATTCCAGCTATCTGCTACTGTGTTGCCTCCATGAGTGTCATCAAAATGAGAAATCTGTAAAACTCAGGAAAAAAATATCAAGTACCAATCGGCTCTAGTTGCTAAGGCTTCATGGTATATACCCACCCAACAGGCAACTGTTTCCTCACCCTCCAAGCATTTCCTGGAAAGTTTGTAAAAAATGCCACATAAACAAACACAATGGAAGCATTAGGGAGAAAACTCACTTTTTCTTCAGCTGCTTTTTCCTTTGATCTACACAGTCTGGAAGAACAGGTGGTGAATTTTCCTCTCAGTCACAGGCATGTCAACTCCAAAAGGAACAGAAAGGGTCATCAGCATTATCTCAGCATCTCTCCCCACAGCCTTTCAACTTTGTGAGCAAAAATAGGCTCTTTCCTCCAACTAGTGACACACACACAAGACTCCTCCTCAGCCAAAAACCACTCCTTGTCAATTTCTCCTCAAAAACCACAAGAAAAATCTTCCCTTCTGAATCTCCTTAAAGGGAAATTTGACCAGTGTTAGGAGCTGAAGTATCTGGCTATACCCCAAAGTTTAAAATATAGAACATTTATTCAGCCACACACACACTTGAGAATTTCCACTGACTAAGCTCAATTAAGGTCATAATTGAAAAAAAATGTCCTCTGAAAGGAGGTATTTTGTATTTCCTTACTCAACCCATTTTTGGTTTTGTTTCCTGGTGGCTACCAGAATCCTCCTACGGGCAGGAAACATCTGAAAGGCAGATCTTTCCTGTTGAGTTGTCTGGGAGAGATGAGGAGGACTCTCACCTTTGTAGAGCACCCGAGATGTTGCTTGTTTCCTCTGTCACTTCTTTCTTGGGAAATTGGAGAACTTTTGAGTGTTGGACTTGAATAAACTAACTCAGGATAGTTACCTGCTTTCTGTACTTGTAATGTGAATGGACTTCTGCCCGTGTCTCTAGGTTCTGTCACCAATTGTTATGTCATTATGCACACTGTATGACTTCATTTAGGCTCCAACTCATCTGGTCTTTTGAAATCCTCAAGCTATGAAAGTGGCTAGAGAAGCTGGCTGTCTCAGAAGAGAGGCTTGGCTTTGAACTGATGAGACTTCTCAGTGGGTCACACTGGCCTGTATGACAAATGGTATTTGTTCTTAGAATTTCCATTTGAGACCATTCCTTCAGTTTAGAAGGTGGGCTAAGAGAAGAAATATTCTGTGATACTTTGATTTATTTCCTGACCAAACTTACACTGTTATTGTTTTAAGCCATAAAGGCATATGTTAATATTTCTGGAAGTCAAACTCAGCTAAATACAACCAAAGAACTAGGACTAGGAAACACAGAACCAATTTACTACTTTTTTATTCAGTTAGTTTTGGTAAGTGAGGCATGAGGATGAAACATTGAGCATAGCAACAAAACTGATCAGCAAAACTGTATCTACCTTTCTTAGAGATAGAATTGAGTACTTTCTAAATAGGCATTTTCTCCCACCTACAAGAAAGGAAGCAGTGTCGGTGATGTCTTAGCACCTATGTCCCCATCAAGTTAGGAGGCCACTGCCCCCTTGGTTTGTACATATGCTTTTCCAGAGGATGGTTTACACTCAGGGATTTAACTTCATTCACTCCCTCAATTTCCTGCAATTTGTCTTTTGCTTGAACTACTCCACCAGAAAGTGTAAGCAAAGTCTCTAGGATCATAACGTATGCTGGCCAGAATCTCCCACAGCACTGTGTCATACTCTAAAGGAGGTTCCACTGGCCAGGCCTATTCTTGAAATCTGTTTCCTTACTTTCACTAAGTTAGACTCTCCTGGTTTCCCCCTTCCTCACTCCCCTGAAATTTTATTCTTAATCTACTGTTTCTCTGCATTCCATGGTGTTTCTTATGAACCACTTTACATGCTACAAACAGAAGACCTTTGGTGTCATCTGACATGGCTCTACTAGGTTGCTGGATTTTACCTGTGATCTACTGGAATCTTCCTCTAATTTCCAGCCATCTCAGTCCTGAATGAAGCTCTTTATCTTCTTCCTATATTCTCTTAGGGCATGACACTGCTCTGCCTGTCATCTTAAATCTTAGGTTCCCTCACTTAGTCTCTACCAGCCTCTATTTGTACAGCTTCTCATCGATCTACTTTATTAAATGACATCTCTTAGGCACATCATTATCCCTTCATTCTAGACTTATATAACTACATAAATTGCTTTATCAACCACAGTTGCCTCTGCCTCAGTATGGTTCCCTCTTATCCTTTATATTATTATAGAGTGATGTTTACTTTAAAATGTCTTATTGAACTATAAAATGCATGTTGCCTAAATTCTGAAAGAATTAAAAATAGGGAATTTAAAATTACTTTCCAGCATAACCTAAAGAATTACATTTTCCCTCTAGAATTTTGTGTGTATGTTAGCTACATATAAGGCATTATTTAGGCTTTTAAATAAATGCTTACATATAGCTTCATAGTTACACAATATATATAAGCAGAAAAGACCAACTACATTGTGCATAACGATGGAAGTATCCCCATTTCTTGGTTCACTGATAACAAAAGGCAAATTAAAGAGAAAAGCATATGTATTAGTTACTTTTATATTGCTGCAATAAAACATCATGGCCAAGGCAGCATATAGAGGGAAGGACTTAAAATTCCTTGGATGACACCAAGATGAGGTCTACAAAGTGAGTTCCAGGAACCCTGTCTCAAACTGCTCCCCACCCCACGAAAAAAAAATCCAAAACCCCAAACCACAGCAAACCACTACAGCATACAAACTTATTTTTTTTACTTGACCTGGAAATTTCATAAAGTTTCAAAAAGTTAAAAAAATTTTTTACCTGGGTTTGTTGAAGAACGTGTAGTTGTGAATTATGACTGGACAGGGAGGAAGGTGTTAGGGGTAGGAAAAGAGAGGGCATGTAGCAGGAAGCTATGGTTATTCATACCTCTTAGGTTTTTCCTTAGTATACTGAGACTTTCAGAATCAATAAAATATTACCTGTAAAGTGGCTGTGAATAATGGCAGCAATAACACTAATGGCGAGATGGTGTTTCTTTCCCTCAACCCTCTACTTGTCTCTATCAGCACAAAGGTTCTATCAAGCATTTGTTAACTCAAGAATTACAGGGACTTGATTTGGGTAGGGTGAAAAAGGGAAAACCTACTTCCTTCACTTAACTTCATGTATATTTATCAAATATTACATAAACAACTGCATTTTTCTTGTGCATTTGTTTTATCTGAGGCACTACCACGTAGCTAAGGCTGCCTTTGATCTTATGAACCACCTGAGGTTACAGGAATGCACTTCCATGCCTGGCTTAAACATGTACTTTCAGTACTAACCTCACATTAAGCCTTCAATTGCTTATCCAACTTTGATGTCTAGTTGAGTTAAGGCCTACAGCCTAATAAGGAAAACAATTTGACAGCGTGATTCTACTTCCTCCCAATGACGCATGTAAGGTGAACTTGTGAACTTTTGGCTGGCCGAAGCTGATGAAGGGTCTCTCTGGTGGGTTAGACTGTGAACATGGATAATTTGGTCAAAGGAATGCTTCCTTTCTATGTAAGACGCACAGCTCCTGCCTCTCTCCTGCTGTCAAGTAGGAAAAGTCTTAGGCACATCTATTTTTTTTTTTAGACAACATTTACTTCTGAGTAAGACACTGGCTTCACAAAATATATTCATTTTAAAAGGTGGGGGAATATCAAGTTGCCTTCCAGAATGGAAGTGCTCATTGTGTGATGCATTTGTGTTTTCCAGAATGTGGGTTCAGCTTTTTAGATTACTGTATGAGGCACGACACAGCCTCTTCTGGTCTTCGTACTTTTTTCCTTATGCACTGTACCCCAGGCAGCTCCCGAAATGTCTCATTACTTTTGGTAATTATTGATACAATACTGCATCTCATCTCCTCTGCCCAGAAATACCCTCTTTCCCTTCTTCCGGTTTTTGAGGCTCTTCATTTTCCTTTCAGGATTGAGTTTGGGAGCTTATCTTCAGACTCTCAGCTGTGCAAGAGTGCCTGAATCAGTTTGAGTTTCATGTCCTTTCTCATGAAACCCTTTGTAAGTCAAACTCTATAACTGAAGCAATTCTTTGATTTACAGTTGTATTCTTAGTATTCAGCTGTCAGAGAAGATCTAGGAAACTACGAAGCGTTAGATTCATCAGGTTCTCTCTCTTCCAAATGGAATTCATCATCCTCATCAGAACACCACCAAGGCCGCATCCTTTGCCTTATTTAAGAATAGAGATGCAATAAAGAACACGTTTGCCAAAACAATGCAACACCAAAAACATACAAACTTAACACATGCTTAAATTAAGTTACACCTTTTGTGTGTGGTGCAACTTTTCTGTGAAAGCTTGTAAATCATGATTCTTATTGAATGTGTAATAAGACTCTTCTATTTCCTCATTTGCTACCTGTCCATACAAGTAAAAACAATCTGTGCGACAAAAATTTCACCTCCTTTAAGGCTATTTAAATTATCATTTTAATTTTTAATATTTAAAAACTGTCAGTCAGTAAAAATAAAAACCACATTAATAATAGTGATTCAAGATGTGTGTGGAAAATATATATCCCAGAGGAGTTTTCTATGGGTGTTTTTACTTTAGGCTTCATGGACTTTACTGAAAACAAAACAAAACAAAACACAAATCCACCCCACTCTCTCCTTCCATCCAATTTGTTGTAGTTTTTGATTAAAAAAAATAAAAACAAAGCATTTGAGCTTAGGGTTGATAACATTTTAACAAAAACAATAAATAGTTCCTTGCCTATCTAGAATTTGTTGTAGTTTTTGATTAAAAAAAATAAAAAAAATTTGGGCCTAGGGTTGATAACATTTTGACAAATGCAATAAATAATTCCTTGCCTATCTAGAATTTGTTGTAGTTTTTGATAAAAGAAATAAAACAAAACATTTGGGCCTAGGGTTGATAGCATTTCGACAAAAGCAATAAATAGTTCCTTGCCTATCTAGCTACTGCTCCACTATGATCTCACTCATTATCTGATTGAAGGACATATCTGAAATGTCCAGGGTAGCCCCACAGACTAGCCACATTTTATGTATGGTCTGTAGCATTATGGCTTTTGCTCACAGCTCACTGCAATTCTGATGGTACCAGCTACTATTCACTTCATTTTCCAGATGGTCAGAAAGGGGTTACTGTTGACTAAACTGGTCTGCAGAAGGAATATATCAGACATTACAACTGGGCATGCTTCCCCATATCTCCATCATAGTGGCATGAGTTAACAGATGTGAGAACACAGCTATAGAACTGCTGAAATCTGGCAAACAAGGAAAAACACCAGAAAGGAATTATTTTCGTGTAATAAAAAATATCACCTCCTTTAACAACCAATTACTCAAAATGTAAGCATTATATAGATTGCATTTGCTAGGTACTTTCAGAATAGCATATAAAATTTAACAGAACAGCTTTATTTTAAATAATGTTACTAATCCAGTCCATTAAGAATATATCAGAAATTATGTCTTTACAGACAAAATCAGCTATGTAATTTTATTTATAAAATAAACGTCTTTTATTTTCTAAGGAAAAATAAGAACTTTTTGGACAAATGAAACAAATGCAAGTAAGATTAACAAAGCTTTACATTTTTCTACTTTACTTTTGTAAATCAAATTGAGTTCATCTGGTCATCTCTTGTATTTATTTTTATAGGTAGAGTATGGCGCAAACATGAATTGGGTTACTTTGTTTTCTGAAACAAATAATGTTATTAAACAAAATTTGAAATTCTCAGTATTAATTTGGAAGCGGAATAAAAAATGATTTTGGAGTTGCAGTATTTATCACTTCTTTTCTTTTGCTTATATGAAAATATGCAATAAAAAATTACCCATATGAAATCATTTGTATTACTTCCTTTTATGTGTAGGACTACGCAC